ACCAGGTTTTGATGGTGGTCCTTGTACCTATTCTTCTTTCCTCGGTTTCTTCATACTTCTCTAACATGTGAAGCGTGCCACGGCTGTGATTCTTGGTGTTGTGCAGGAGAGAAGCCCTGTGTCTGACAGCTCGTGGTTGCGCTGTCCCCCTCGCCCCTGGGGCCAGTGCTGTCCTGAAGCCCTGCGGATGAGCAGGGGCCCTGGGTGCCTGCACTTGTGCCTCCCATTTGTGAGGTAACAGGTGGGGAGGGTTGAGGGCTGGCAGGAGCCCTGTCGTGAAGGGCACTGCTGCAAAGGCCATAGCTTCACCTCAGCCCCTCACTGCTTGTCCTTGCCAACGTGTGTGAATCCAGCACATGTGCCCATCCTCCAAGGTGAGCTGGAGGCTGGGTGAGAGCTGCTTGGCCGAGGCTGCTTCAGCCTCTCCTTTCAGCAAGCTGAGAGCCCTGTGGTTGGGGAGGGTCCCTGCCTGCCTGTGGCTCTGCATTGCTCATGTTGGGGCTGTATTAGTGGTTTTGGGTTTGTGTAAGTGGCCAGGGGGAGGTTTGCTGTAATGGAGGGACTAGTGAGCAAAAGGGAGCCTGCTGCATGAGCAGGAAGCAGTGAGGCTGCTCCTGAGAGCAAGGGGCAGCTGCCCTCTGAGCTGAGGGGCTTGGCTGGGAGGTGCCCTGTTGGATTTGGGAAGGGCTCTGTGAACTGAGGTGTCTGCAAAGATTTTTGCAAAAAGTGAGAGCTGCAGCATGACGTTGTGGGGCAAGGAGAGTGCTGAGGTGCCTGCTGGCCTCTGGAAACCTCCCCCATGGCAGCCTCGGCTACCACATGAGGTGCCCAGGGCCTGGGCTGTGGGGATGAGTAGATGGAGATGGGCTCCATCGAGGCAGTTAAACCTGCGGGGAGGAGTAGGGGGAGAGAGGAGAGGGAAGTCTCCCAGTAGCAGGAGGGGAGCAGCAGGGCACAAGGGCTCCTTCCCTCGGCCTGGGTGTGGGGAGGGAGAAAGGCCAAAAGCCCGAGCAAACTTTGTGTGAAGAGCCAGAGCTTCCTCCAGAGGTGCCTGTGGTGTGCCTGGTTTTAGGGGCTGGCAGAGCTGCTGCTGGGGTGCTCTTGCCCTGGCCTCACAGCATGAAGCCACTCACCAGCAAAGAAAAAGCTGCCTGTTTGTGTGGGCAGGGTCAGTGCTGCTGCTCTGCTCTTTGTACGTGCCTGCAGCTGCAGAAAGCAGCGGTTGTCCCTGCTGCAGCAGTGCTGCTGGAGGTGCTTGAACCAGCTCTGCCTCCTCGGCACAGCCGGCAGGGACCTGGCAGCCTCCATGACTGCTGGGTCCACTTTCACTCATGTATGAGGCACTGCAAGGCCTCACGAGTCAAGGCCTCAAGGTGTGAGAAGCAGTTCCAGGCCTTGGGAGAGCAGAAAGGAGCAGGGAGGGAGAGCAGTGGTCCTGAGACACCGGCTTTCCCCCCCCCAGAGGGGCTGGGACAGCTCTGGCCCCTCTCGCACCCACGCACCAGCCCTCTCCGCCTCTGGCTGCCCCTGGTTTCTTGCTCCCTGCCCCGGGGGAGCTCAACCAGCCCTCCCTGTGCTCTGCGGGCGCTGCCTCCGCATCGGCCCCTGCTGGAGCAGCACTGGAGCAGGAGGAAGGCGGGGGCGGGGAAACAGCATGTGGGACCCAGGGAAGGGGAACCCTCATCTCTCTTCCCCCAGCCTGCCCAGAGAGGGCGATGGCTTCTGCACAGGACAGTGCCTACAGGAGCTCCTTCCCCTGCCCGTTCCTACAGGGGCTGCTTTAACTGTGGGGCTGCTGTGCCTAGCCCCTGGCATTGTGGCTGCCTTTTGCACTTGCCTGCACCCCCTGCAATGTACCACCTGGCCCCAGAGAGATGGTCCCAGGCCTGGCCCTACAGCCTCACCCCAGAGGTTGCTCTATTTATACTTTTTATTCTGTTAATTTTATTAATAATTTCTTCTGATGTGCAGCTCAAGGCAAGGCTAGGAGTTGTTTTATGTTTGACCTATTTCCTTCAAGCTGGCCAAGCACAGGAAATAAATGGCTACGTCTGTCTATGCAGCTCCCCTTGACTTATTTCCATGCCCTGTTCAAGCACGGCATAAAGGGGCAGCACAGCCCCCAGGGCCCAGCCCAGCCGCTGTGGGGGCAGCCGGGCCCCCCCCCCGC